CCCGGTAAAGCGGCATATACTTGCTGCACACCGGCAATATAGACATGGACTGGACTGGACAGTAGGTATTTCGCAGCCTGTGCAATTTCTGCGGGTCCTGAATTCTGCTGCCCGGTGCTTCTTCCAAATTAAACATTTTTTGTCATTTAAACATTCTTCTTTTCAATGCTTTTCTAAATTTTAAAAATTTTGCTGCATGGTGCAGCTGCACAGGTTGCACCGATCCTACTAAAGAGTTATTCTTAAGTTTTGAATGTGTAATACAGTTATTGTTTTCCTAAGACTATTTTTAAATTTCAAACTTTAATTCGTGTCATTGTCAGTTCAAAAACAGTCAGTTTTAATTTATTTACTTCTTTCTTTGCTCCAGCTCTCTGATGGCTATGCAACGAAAAATGTAAATTTCATATTTCATTTCTGGTTTTTGCATGTGATTTATTCCGAATTGAATATGTTATGAATTTTAAACGTTCTTTTTATCTTATTTCGCATTATATATATATATATATACGTGGGCTGTCTGAAATGTTTCCGAACTAACAAATAAAAAAGATATTTTTTCTCTAAAATTATCGTCTTCTTCCAGCGATGCTCCTACCCTTTAAACCCGCCCATATAATATGTGGAATCTTTCTCTGCAAAGTCTCCTCATTTGACGAAAATCTTCGTCTGCCACAAGTGCTTCTTTTAGCTCAGGAAACAAAAAATGTCACTTGGTGCCAGGTCTGGCGAATAGGGCGGGTGGTCAAGCAGTTCAATTCGTAATTCAGGGATTTTCGCCATTGCAACGGCTGAGATGTGAAATGGAGCACTGTCTTGGAGAAACAAAAGTTTTTTTCTTTTGCAGGTGTGGATACTGTTCCGTAATTTCCTCATTCAGCTTGTCAAGTAACGTTGCATAGTATGCTTCGGTAATGTTTTTCTCCATCCGGCTGTATAATTCAAATAAGAATTTACTCTTGAAGAATGACTTTGTCCAGAAATGAAAATGTGTTCAGTCGGCCATTAATGCTGCTTTTTCTTTGACAGCATCATCTTGTATATCTTCACACGTGTGTTACATAGTTATGTATATCTAACTAAAGAATAATTCACGAGTATAAAAGCCAATTAAAATAACTTTTTGAAACGAACATAAACTGTTCTTGGAGAAAGTATTAAATGCAGCGATAATCGATAAGCAAAGCAGAAGCTAAGAATATTCAGTATGTCGATAATAAGAACAAATAAAGTTTTCATTTAGCGAACTAATTAGATGAACAACAGCAAGAACAAAAAAGGCTTTGGGATAAAAATAAACTAGGAGGATAAAAATAACCACGTTTTCCATTTTTACTCCCGTAGCATATTCAAATTAACCAATACTTAATGAAACATAAATCAAACATCCCTGCTAAAATTAAATCACTGGGTCTCAAAAGTAAGCCAATTCAGAAAACTAAAAAAATTAAACTCAAATGCAAAACGAAAACAAGATGATATTTCGATTACGGATATACGTAGCCTTCAGGAGAAAACATAGTGGTTTCAATTAATTAACTGTGTTCATTGCAATTTACCGTGCATAACAAATATTTATCAGCAAATCATCCGCTAAATTAAAAGAATTAGATTAAGCCGAAGTAATTTAATCAAATTCGAAGCTGTTTGAGTTACATAATTACCCTTAATATAGTTTCAGAAAAAAAATCTGGAAGCTTTCAGGCATTATATTACGTCCAAAGGGGCATTTTTTAATGTTTTGTGTGTTACCTTTATTTATTAAATATCATGTTCTTCGGACTTAAACTACATAAAATTAAATTCAACAGGAATGTCACAAAATACATAAAAACAGAGTATCTATAGAACTTCTAATAGATAGTCTATTGCGTTGGAGATTTTTTCCTTACAGTGTTGCCATTGCTCGCTTTAAAATCATTTAATTCGTTAATTAAACGTTCGTTAAAGTTTTACAAAACATGAAATAATGGTATCAATAAAATAAAATAATGTATAATAAAATAAAAGGTATATCTCAATTGGCCACGTTAATCAAGAGCCTGTGTCTTCAACATTCGAGCCTCTTCATTCATGATGTAATTTCATGCAAAGGAAAAATGAAAGCCAGAACAAAATTTCAAATATTAGCTGTATTTTACTTATCTTAAATTTACACTGTTATTTGTAGTTGCTATTTTTAGCTCAAAGTGTAATTTACCAAGAATGGCTCTTAATTTCGTCTTGCCATTTTGCGTCTTCCACTATAAAATGGCGTTTCACTTTTCAAATTGTTGCCAACAAATATTAGAGCCTTCCATTATATTTAAAGAAATTAAATAATATGCATGAATGTATGTATGTTTCTCGGCGGTAAAAAGCGGCCGTGAGAGACATCAAATTTTAAATAACATGGTCCTTCACTCGAATATGGGCATCTGGGAAGGCCAAATTTGGAATTGGTTTTATTATCTATTTCATATTTTGTAAAACTTTGACGAATTTTTGATTAACAAACTGAACAATTTCAAAGCGAGGAATGGCAACACTGTATGAAACAAAAAACATTTTTATCTCGAGTGCACGAGACTGTGTATACAGAAATTCTAAAGATATGCTCTTCTTATATGTTTTGTGATATTGCTGATGAATAGAGTTTTATGGTTTAAATGCGAAGAACATGATATTTAATAAATAAAGATAACACACTAACCGTTTATAAAAATGCTCCTTTGAGCGTAATATAAAATCTGAAAGTTTTCAGATTTTTTTTAATTTTTCTTTTTTATTTCATGTTTTAGTATCTTACTGATATTCTTACTGCAATATAATTTTCTAGAACCAGACTTTGGTTCTTCTTGAGAATAAAATAATGACAATATTTCATTAAAATACAAATTCGAAAGTTGCTTGTTTCAATATTTATAGCAAACATGGAAGTTTCGTTGTTTCGAATTTCTCATATATTTCTGTAATACGTGCTTTAAAGAATATGGATGGAGTTACTTTTAAGAAGCTTATTGCTGCTTCCTTAAATATGTCAAATGAATTAGCGATTCTGTAAATATTCGGGAAAAATATTCCGGAAGCTCATTTTTTAATTATTAAATAATTACTGATATAAATTTCAAATGGCGGAAAGAAATAATTGGATAAATTTAATAATTATTTTTGACAAAATATTTTATAAAAAAAAATGCATACTGAAAAGTAATTTCTTATTTTTTGCCATTCTAAATGTTTCTTCTTCTTATGTTAGATAGTAGTAATGCTTTTGCAATGCTTGAGAGAGTTACTTAACTTGTCTTTGCAATGTTAGAGAGGATTATTTATTGTATTATGTAGCAATTGTTCCTTCTGAAACTAAATTGTTACAATAACGATTATTATCTGCACATCTTAATAATTCAGTTCGAAATGTTACGTTACGTGTCTCCACTTTAAACTGATTACCACTAAGGGTTTTGATGTAGAATTAGTAATTGTCAAATTCATTAGTTTTCGATATACTATTACATTTAGAGATATCGCTGGTTTTTTACACTGTGATTAACAAATACAAGTACACAGAGGCTGTTCACACATTTTTAGACGATGTATATTGTATTCACAAAACTAAATTACATAAAATTCTTGTGTTTTAAATGTTCTATTTGACACCCCTTATTCTGAACTATCTTTCGACGCCGCAATTTCCAGGATAATAATGCCTTTTGAAGTGGAAGAAGAATTATTCTATCCCATTCCTCCCGAACAGCTTTCCAGAGTCCTGCTAGGGTTTTGGGACAACGTTTGGATAATGCAGTTTTTAAAAGTCCTAAAGCACAAACATCTATAGGTGACACATCGGAAGATTTAGTAGGGATATCAGTGAAGGGTATGGCCTTGATACAGATTTTTGTTCCATTTCTTTTAGGAAATTTACAGTGGATTTTGATGTGTGACTGCTAGCTTTGTCCTGTTGGAGTCTTACAGTTTCAAGGCAGTGCGGGTTAAGCGATGGTATTTCATTCAGAAAAATTGGCGATAAAATATGTTCCTGATAGTATTTGGAGTTAATATTGACATTTGTTTTTTCACTCTCTTTATTTTTAACTTGCCATTATAAGAAAAACCAGCAACAATCATGAATCCCTTAAAAAACTTTCTTTTGATTCTTTGAACCATGTACTTAAATGTTTTTCTCCCTTTTATGATAATAAATGGCTCTTTTTTGTTACAATAATTTAAATACACCCATGGTTCATCTTTTGTGACAATTATTTTCCATTTTTCTTTGGATAAGTGTTTCTCATATAGAATTCTGCAGCGTGTCCTGCGTCGAGCGATATGCTTTGGAAGAAGACGATGCACATTGCGTTTTTCGCTTTCTTAAGATTTATGTCAACGTTTATCATTTTGTTTACAGTGTACACCGAGCATTTTAATGATTTTGCAACTTCCTTTGACTAAAGGGATTTTCTTTTTTGCAATAGTCGAAGAGGTCCGTTTGGATACTTGTTTGGAATTTTTGTCCTACTTGAGGCTCCAATTTGACGTTTTTTTCTTTCTTGTTGATGATATTACCTATCGACGCTTTAGATATCACAAAACCATGACTCTCACATCGTTTTTGGATAACGGAGTATGCATATTTCTCTTCGAAAAGAGCGTAAATGTAGCCTTCGAACCACTGCTTTATTAAATTCGCCATTTTGAATAAAAACAAAAACTTTCAAGCCACAGACGATAATTTCGACATTTAAAAACATAGTACAATTGCAATTACTTCTTTTACAGCAAACGAGTTTTTATTACCGCTCACCAAAACCGTCTAAAAATATGCGAACAGCCTCTGTATAAGAAAATACCGCTGAAGTATTTCTAATAACAAATCTGTGTGTAATGGTGTATTTGAAAATGTTAACTAATATTATATGTTACTTCAGGTTTTGATTCATAATAGTGTTACATATTACCATTTGATTTTAATTGTAGACATGAATATGTATAAAAACAGTTCAGTTATTTATCTTCTTTATTTCAATAATGATAACAACAAGAAACATCAAAAAAAAAGGAAATATACAATAGATGAAATAACACCGACAGAAAATTCGCGTGAGCAGATATTAAGAAAGAGAAACAGGATTATGAATGTTAAAAATGTCTAATTACAGAAAAAATGCACATTCTCATTAAGTCCTTTAATCTTAGCACCATTCATTTCCACTTTGCGAGAATCATCAAAGCAGTCTTAACATGAATATAATACAGAGTTGTACATTAGAGGTAACAAAATGCGTACAAGAATACTTTTCAAAGGAAATAAGACAATAAAGTTTTCATCTATACATTTTAACATTCAGAATCTTTATTTTTTTCAGGAAGAGAATTTTCAGAAAAAGCTCTGCAGTATTACATCGTCAGTGTAATCAGATATATATCAGTATTATTAAATACGTATCAAATTCAATAAATATTAAACTGAGTTTGAAAATGGGATAAAAATCGTATTTTCCCACTAGAATTAAGGAAGATTATTACTATATAATTATAGACCATATGTTTCAATTTTTATTGACATTAGTACCGAAGTTTTTATTATTTTACCATTTCCTTATTTATATATGTAAGCATCTCTTATTATTTTCCTTTTTTAACTTTTTTTAATTTTAAGCCTTATTGAACTGAAAGAAACTATTATTCATTCTTCTACGGAACTGTTTCTTAAATAAAAATAAGAAGCATATTCTTATTATCTGTGATATCAGTGGAAACTGTAATAAAAAAAATTATGCCTCATTTTTATCATATGGTGTTATACTTCATGATCAGTATGTACATAAATGTGTTGAAGTTTGAATTGGACATATGATTTCTTGTGACAGCTCTTTTTCCCTAAGAAATTTTACCTCTAAAAATTTAAAACTTTTTAAACACATTGTGCAGTATTGTAGGAATAATTAGAAGCATATTCAGCAGAAGTATAAAGCCACTTTTTGAATTCCTCTATTACATAAAATGCTTTCTAATTTTTTTCAAAATTTATTAAGTAGTTTTTATATTTGTTACATTAGCGTGATCAGAATTTTAATAGCCTAGTTTTTTTCACTTTTCGTTTCTGTTTTCCTCGATCGATGGCCCTTCGTAGGTATTGACTTTGCTCCATTCGTTTCTTTCGATATAAAAAGAAGACGTCACTCCTCTTAATTTGCAATTTCTGTTTCTTTTGCTGAATTATAGCTGTCCAATCGCCCTTCAAATGCGATAGTTTTATTCAAAATTTACTTAAAATAATATTAATAAAATAAATAATGCTGCTTTTTTGTTAATTTGAAACTAATAATCTCTTGCAAAGTGTCAAACATTCTAGCAAACGAAATCTAATGGAACATCAGTGTTATGTGACACTTATCCTATTGGCATGGCAGCAACTTATCCTGCTGCCGCAAACTTGGGTCAAGGTTCGAATTCAGAAAAAGATATGGAAGATTTTGTAGATGAATATAGTTTTTTCGATATGGAGCACTTAAAATACTGTCGAGCCGAAAGTACTCTCGAAACGCTGATAGCTGGGGAAGAAGAAGTTGCTTCATTAGTAGGTAATTAAACCTTGTTACTTCACCGTCACAGAACTGATATAAGTATTTTGTCTAAATTTTATAACTGTTCAGTTTTATGAGAACCTGATAGAACTGATCAATCTCAGAGAGCCAAACACGAATTCACAGTCGGTCAACAATTTCGCTGAGTCAGCTTCACATTCACCACATGCGCAATTTTACCTTTCTCGACTGTTTACGGCTTAAAACCTGTTATTAACGACTACGATAGTGATGATAATTGGGCCATCATAAGAAGGATCCTTTAGATATTAAAAGCTAAGCCAGCGATAGAAGAAAACTGTGTTGGTCGCATTAAAAATCTTCATATTACGAACATCTTTGCGTGTTGGAAATTTCTTCAGCTCTTGAAGCTCAGAAAATAAAGGAGATATATAACATTGGATTCCTGGATACTACAGTATTTCGGAAAATGAGCAAGCCAAGTTCCTGACACAAAAGGCCTTGAAATAGTTACGACCAACATGTTTGAGATCTATTAACGTTCAAATAAGTTGTAAATCGAATAGGTTTTGAAGGAGATGAATTAAACCCATTTGCAAGACAGAGTTAAGATGAAAACAAAAGAACAGGGGGCGTCTCTTGCCGATTTTTAACGAACCATAGCATATAACTGTAGCCCAATTCCATTTCCACAATCGTTTCGAAGACCAGCTTGAACAAACAAAGAACAAAAGAAGCATGCCTGCCGTCTATGATGATATAACATCTTTCTGTGTCATTGTCACCAAATGGGCTGTCATCTTTCGAAATATCATTCAAAAGTAAGTGGGCTATGTTTTTGTAATAAGAGGAATATGAAGTCCAGGAGTATGTGAAGTTAAACATAGAACAGACAAGTCTTCAGATTGCTATACAAACGGGAATCAGAGTTGGGACAATGATAAAAATCCTGCTTGAAAAGCTGGGGAAATTGAATAACTGCGTCAGATACTTACGCAGAACGTTGACACCAGAAGTGAAGAAACATAGGTTCAGATGTTCTCAAAAGCTCTGCTGTTCAAGATGAATGCCGATAAAAATTTGTATTCAGGAGTAGTGACAGCGTAGCTTCAACACTCTGATCCAGAAGACAAACTAGACCATAATAATTGCATGGAAATATTTTCGAAAGAGAGCATATGCGTCTGTAGGATGCTTAAGTGGCTTAGCAGCTCTGCAGGACATTCATTACTTGTGTCACCATACGGTAATGTCCTGGTATGCTTTTTTTTCTCCTGTCCTGTAAACACTCTGTGGATTTCTACAACCTAACAAGTCCGGAACCTAGAAATCAGGAAACACTCTAGGTTCCGTTTTTTGGGAATGGAAAGACAGCACTGCTTATTATTTACATGTTACATTACCACAATAAAGGTATTTATTATGCTAAGGTGATGAGCAACTATGGCAAAGTATGAAGGTTAAACACTGAGAGAAATGCAGCGGAAAATCTTACTTTTGCATTAAAAAGTTCTAGCATACAAAATACAAAACTCAGATTTCCTTGACTGCTGTGAAATGGATTTCGACTTTTCACCCATAGACCTTCTTGTCCACATCGATCGCCTTGGCACCGTCTCTTTATAATTTTGCCTACAGGAACTTCTTTTTGTGTAAACACTGAAACAATATATGCTTGAATCAATTACAAGGATGATGATTTGAAGGACACCATTTGAAATTTTGAAAGCTGTGAGGGCACTTTTTAAATTGGAAACTGATACTTAACGAATCAATGTGTTAAACACATTGAAGTCAAGAAAAACTGTAAAATACTCAACGTAATTTTAGAATTTATCTTGAGAAAGATTTTTTCGCTTATGGGACGTTCAGTGTATGGCAAAGAAATTATCACATAAATGCCTTAAATTAAAATTATGAAATTTTTAAATAAAAGAATTTAACATGCTTTTATTATAAATATGAACTCTTACAGGGTGGGATGGGGCGATCTGATCAGCGTGTTCAAAGTGCATAAGAGTTGCAGGCACCATTTCTCACTGTGGCTGTTGTTTGCCAAGATATAAGGGCGTCCTGGAGGTAAGATACAAAGGTCCCTGACACCTTTATGAAATTCAATTTATCCACGAAGAAGGCAATATTCAACAAGATGGCGGAACAACCATGGGAAAATTTTATTTTAGAGAGCATTCGCCTACTTGCGAAAAGGTCCCAGAATCATTATGAAATTGTTGGGGTGATGAAACGTGAAAATTCCCTGTTTTTATACTATCGAATGAAGCATTAGAACCAATAGCTATTAATATGCGACGAGCTAACAACGGCGCGGTTAAGTGATGCGTTTTTATATCCATTATTTAGCATTTGAGTTTTGGGAGGGGTGGGCGTCATTAAACATTTTCTTGCAGAGCTATTGTTCGTTTGTTATTTGAATTCCGAAACTATGATTAATATTTCACCCATTTGAAACGTTCAGTATCAGGCGATAAGGCTGGCACTCTGGCTACAGAAGCCTCGGGAAATTTATCCAATTCTCGATAGTTTCATCTGCTCCGGTGTACTAGATAGCTTTGTATCATTTTACCATATCAACAACGTTTAAATTTGAGGCTGTATTTTTGAATACCACTACCATGTATTAAGAGCTCCCTTGACCAGGCCTTCCAGGGTATCAGAATGCTGTTACAAAACAGAGTTCTTCCTCAGCGGGAAGAAAGGGCTTTCAAAATGTGTCACATATAATACAATTTTTCAAGAAAGGAAATATGATTTTGTGATATTCAGATACGATACTGTATCAGTCCGTGTTTTTTCTGCAAGAAACTACTAGTCTTTACATGCAAAGAGAACCGACTTTCAACATGAATGCCCATATTCGTATCTGAAATCCTGAGAGTTTGGTTGATGGGTCACCTGAAGTCATAGGTATCCAACGTCATTGAAATGCTGTTTTAGTTGTTCGAAATGTATTAATGATTTATCTTCAAACTTAGTATTATGTCCTACTGTATATAAGCGCTTTTTTTGGTGGATGTAATTGTTATTTAAAATTTATTATTCTTAAAAATTAGTACATTATGGCTTTCTGTAGTAAATTCTTTATTATGCATTGTAAAATTATTCAGACATAAAACTTTTAAATACTTTCCGAATACTGGATCTCCTTCCATATAAAATCCAAGATGGATTCAATTGCATTCTTAAATAATATGACCTTACGAGTTTTAGATATTGCAGGTGTTGTTCAAACTGATTTAATGCTTTTACAGCTAATGTTTAACAAGTAAAAGAACATATATATTTAATATGATGTTACAAGCAGGTTACAAGCAACAACTGGTTTATGATTTGAAGATAATTATGCATGCATGAATACTTTATTATTATTCATGACTTTAGTATTTTACAATGAATGGGCAGACAGCCATTAACACGATCAGACGTATAATTCGTACGTTTACATCGATATCGTCACCAAGGGATGGCTCCAAATGCAGGCCAATGAGCTTTTCCTGCTCTTGTGACACTGAAACTTTGAACGCTCTTGGTTATTTCTTATTTCGCAGTTATTCATAGTATCCACTATACATCTGTTATCTTTTCAAATTCTCTTAACTAGATAGATAACACTCCCTTGATTAAAAACACCGATGTGTATTTAAGAATTAGCCCACCAGCGGCCGAGCGGTAAAGTCGCTGAACACTGGTAGTTCGGTCAGAGGTTCGAATCCCGCGAACGGGCTGGCTGCATGGGCGTTTTCGTGGTTTTCCCCATGTGTAACGTGTATACGAGCCTGTTTCCCTTAGAAAGTCCTCCACGAAGGCATCCCTCCCCTTAGGCAGATAGCCCTCGAGGCTTTGCCATAATCACACACACACACACACACTGTATTTAAGAATTATGCCAGTCATCACACTTAGTAGGATTTCTGCTACATCGAGAAAAAAAATAACGTTGCAAGTTATTATATTAATGCTACACAGTTCGTAAATAAAGCTAAAATATTAGTATTTAGTTGTTCAATATTTAAAGAACGATTATAAGCACTGCTGCAGCTCAGAGATATGTTTCTTCGCTTTTCTTGCTGATGTTTCCAGAAGAAACTTTGATCGCTTGTGCTTGAGGGAGCAGACTATGAGTATTGATCTCGTTCCTTGACGAAGTTTTGGATGACGCAGATACAAAAGATGTCGTGTTTCCGGGTCTGTTTGAGGACTTTGGGCATTGACAGTTATTCCTCAGCAGTCGGAAGCATCTCCCAAACCACGTCTCTTTAGACTGAAACATGAGATAGATGTAAGGATTGAAGGCACTGTTACTAGCCGATATTACACCAAATAAGGCAACAATATTAGGATTGAGAAGGCTGGAATCGCCGAAAGCTAGTATCATTTCTTGAATTACATATGGCAGATTGGTGACAATGAATGCCAAGAATATAACAAGCGTCATCTTTAGAGTTTTGCTTTTGGCTCTTGGTAACGACGATGCGCTTTGTTCGTTCGAAGAAAAAACTGATGACTGAGTCCAAATTTCTGCCAGAATTCTGGTGTAAAGACCTAAAAGCAATAAGAAAGGGACGATGAATATGGACAGGAAAACGAATGCCATGTAAATCTGACGCCGATAGTACGGTGACTGCGATGTATAGAAGATTGAGACACAGTAGCTGACAGTTTCAGACTTTTTCACCTCATGGAAAATATAGAAGCATGGTAAAGACGGCAAAAGAGAAGCAATCCAAGCGGCAATTGCGTAAGATTTTGGCATTGGAGTCCTAGAAAAAGGTCTCACTATAGCATTATACCTATCTAGCGCGATTGCTACCAGCATGTAAGTGGACAGGGTGAGAGAATATGTTTGCAAGAACTTCACGATTCTGCAGAAAGCATCTCCTGCCAACCAAATCTTTCCCATAATTTCCCAAATAGTTTGCGATGTCATGGTCACGAGTGTTACAAATAGATCTGCTGCTGCTAAGTTCAGGAAAAGTATTTTAGACTTCGGAAAACGTCTTCTACGAAGAGGCAACAGTTGCCAACACACCATGCTATTTCCTAGAAGAGATATAAAGATCATAACCAGAAGAGTGCATATCCTTGCTGTTCTGTGATACTGAGGGCCAAAGTCTGTAGTATCTTCAACAGGTGGGCTTTCTGTAATCACCGAGTTAACGCAGTGAAGTACATCACTCACTTCGTCTGAATCGTTCAAATATTGAGCAAAATGCATGCTTGTTCAGTACTGTTTTTAACTCAACATTTATGTATGAAAAGCAACTCCATTTTAAAAGCTAATTTCGTAGAGGCTTAGGTATCAAAGAACATTTATTCTTCCACCAGCGTAAGGTAGGTCAGAAGATTTTCTTTCATATCATTTAATCATTTCAAAAAGGATTAATATTCAAAGATTTTTATAAAGAACAGCGTAAAAGTGGGAAGTAAAATCCTAAGATAGAATTTTCTAGTAAGCACGATTTATAAGTATAACCGCACAAAGTCATGTTAATCGTCCATCCATTAAAAATGATTTCTCCAGAGCAAAGATCAGCAGCGCAGATAGTCTTTTTGGGAAGCATCTTGCACAGTTCGTCAGACCTGAAATGAACAAAAATAACGCAAGAGTTAGATTCATGAAACAAATTTTAAGAAGACTATTAACCATTTACTAATTCATCAAAATAATTTTGGTATTGAAATTATATTTTTATGCTATATATCATTATAAGTTTCAGAGTAGAGTGGAAACGTTTTACAACTTTCTGAAAAACATTATAAGAAGAATAACTAAAAACTCGCCCTTTCAAAAGACCTCCAAATGTACACACATGCAAGAACTGCCACTAAAGAATAAAAAGGAAAATCTTACGTGATGATATATTACGATATTCATGATAACAAGTTCCTCAAAATCTTGTTGAGAAGGAATATTAGACAAAATGGAGAGCTGGCGACAAAATAATTGTAAAATTCTCAATGAACGAAGATCTGAGAAAGGATGTCCTAAATTGTCGAGAATGCATTCATCATACTCCGGGACGTTTTGCAATCCTTGATAAATAAGTCTTTAAACCATCGCAGCATACCGTACCCTGTCGTAGGAATTTAGAGAGGACATCAAGATATGCAATGGGCTGCAACATTAAGCACTTATCAGGATGTCTTTGGGATGTATTGGAGGTATCCTGGGATGTTTTGAGGATGTGAATAGCGTCTAATAATAATATTCAGAGGACGGTTTTGTGCTGCATGGGCATCAATTAAGCAGACATTGAAATATTCAGATATCATTAACTGAGTCCGAAAGTAACATATTCAGGATAACCCGAGGAGTTTTTTTGGTTTATCAGTAGACATTATGCGAACATTAAAATACCAAAGTTTCCCTAGTTGAGCATGACATCTCCATCTTCAGGATATCGTGACGAGGAAATATTAAAAGAGCCCGTCAGTAACATCTTCGAGATATTCTGATGGAGTATTTTGTGAAACAGCATCTTCAGAATAGCTAGAGGACTCTTTTGTTCTCCATTTAGAATCAAAAGACTGATATAACTATGCTTTATATATTGCTTGGGCATCACAGTCTAAATACGCAGTGAGTAATTTTACACTTCATACTAATAAATTTTCACAGAAGGGAAGTTAATCGCTCAATCGAACATTTGAAATTTGATGTAGCCTTCGCCAGGAAAGAAACATATTCTAACATTTAAACTCTTTATAATTTTGTTACAAAAGTAACATTTATATTGTTTTGTGTAAATATCGAATGGTATGTGATTAAATTTCAAGTAATATTAGTTCGATTTCTTTGAACTACTAAACGGAAGACTTAAATTTTTAGAAGATCGTGATCTTAACCAATCAAAATCTGAGCTCTTGAGAGGACGTATATGGTTTCTGCAAAGTAGCATAATATATAAGGTTTGAAACATTTATGCCATTTCATTTCTTCTCTCGCTAAATGCCAAAGCTTCTTCTGACGTTACATTAATTACAAGCCCTTTAATAATGTATCACAAGGATCCCCACAGCTTTTAATTTTATGTCACTATAAATCAAGCTATTATGTACCTTTCAGGTTAATTTGTACCAACGCTACAAAATGTTTTATCCCCAATAAACCGCTGTTTTATGAATACGTATATATTATTTTATTCAAGCATATTTTTATTAGGAAAGGCCACGGTGTGTGATAAGAGAGGGCAAAAAACAACAGCATTAAATTGTCCTAATGCATTCCGGAAAAATTATTTTTTTGAAAGCGTCCCTGGAAAATATAAAATTCCAAATAAAACTGTAATACAATGTTTTTAGTCCAAAGGAGCTTTGCCCCCGAAGGTACTGTTTTCGCTTTGCGACTTTGCTCTGAATCACTATAAATGTCCGTTTCACTTTTCAAACTGTTGCCACTAAATGTTAGTATCCTGCATAATATTTGAAGAAATTAAATAATGAAAATTCTACATCAATGTATGCTTGTTTTGGAGTAGAAATTCTAACTTGAACTGCAAATTTTTTTAAAAAATCTTTTTAACTGTATTTGGTGTGTTTGGCTTTTAAGTATTTTACAATTTTTGATGAAAGTGTTTTGAGATTTTACGTATTTTAATGAAGTACAGCAACATATCTTTATAATTTAGTAGCCATACTAGAAAATCATGCGGTATTCAAATTACATTTTTTAAATATATTGTAAGAGCACTAAGTGTGAATTCTAATACTAGGGTTTCTGATTTCTTTTTAGTAGTATCAGAAACTGAATACGTTCGCAATGAAAGGAAGTTCTCCTAGAAAACGTCTTTCGGCACTATTTGCATATTATTTCGGTTGTCATTCAAAACAGTCATCGAAGAAACTCGAAATTCCACTCACCATTTCTGACTTTTTTTTTTTTTTTTTTTTTTGTGTGTGTGTGTGATTCTGTTTTTCGATACGAAACCTCCTATCTGTGTCAGATGCAAAATTTCTACAATGCCATTATGCTCAATGCTACGAGATTTCTACAATGCCATTATGCTCAAGCTTTGTAACGTGACTTTTCGATTCGACGTTATTTCGCCAAGATTTTCAGGCCATGATACTCGTTCTTTTATATCATTTCAGTTTCATTTCTATACGTCGTTTTCTTAACAATATGATATCTAACCCAGTTTCCAAGTCAGCTATTTATACTAGCTAGTATAGAAGTACTGTTTTCTGAAATGCATTATAAATTATATTACTATTTTTAAATTCTTAATTTGTAACGAATCAAACGCACATTTTTATGCATTTATTTAGAGATTTGTGCACTATTTTCCAGTCCAGAGGAAAAAAACAACTAATTTTAGAAATCAATTGAAAGTGAAACATTCGAATACAAAACTAGCTGATAAATTTTGCCTAATTTTGAATTTTCATGGGCTATTTGTGTTTCATAACTTAACCAGATGATATTCACAAAAATCTATTTGCGAATAAATGCCACTGATTATCGTTCCGCAGATTTATTCGGCTGGTTAAGAATATTCGGCTTAAGTTTGCAGATGACTTCAGTATGCTTCTCTGTTGATAAAATTCTTGTGTTTTAAATGTTCTATCTGACATCCCTTATTCTAAACTATCTTTCGACACCGCTATTTCCAGGATAATATTGCTTTTCGAAGTGGCAGAAGAGTTATTCTATCCCAGTCCTCCTGAACAGCTTTTCCAGAGTCCTGTTAGGGTTTTGGGGACAACGTTTGGATAATGCAGTTTTGAAAGTCCGAAAGCACAAAAATCCATAGGTAGGGATACCAATGCAGTAGGGATATCAATGCAGCATCGGGAGATTTAGTAGGGATATCAATGCAGGGTAGGGCTTTGATGCCAGTTTTTTGTTCCATTTCGTTTAGGAAATTTACAGTAGATTTTGATGCGTGACTGCTAGCTCTGTCCTGATGGAGTCTCACAGATTGGATCACTGTGGGTAAAGCGATAGTATTTTATTCAGAACAATTGGCGATAAAATATGTTCCTGAACAGTATTTGGAGTTAATCTTGACATCTTTTTTGCACTCTCTTTATTTTTAACTTTGCCATTATAAGACAAAACCAAAGCAACAATCATGAATCCCTTAGAAAAACTTTCTTTCGATCATTTGAACCATGTACTTAAATTTTTTCTATTTCCCTTTTATGATAATAAATGGCTCTTTTTTGTTACAATCATTTAGAATACACCCATGCTTCATCTATTGTGACAAATTGTTTTCCAGTTTTTCTTTGGAATAAGTGTTTTCTCATATAGAATTCTGCAGCGTCTCCTGCGTTGAGCGATATGCTTTGGAAGAAGACGATGCACATTGCGTTTTTTCGCTTTCTTAAGATTTTAATCAACGTTTATCATTTTGTTTACAGTGGACACCGAGCATTTTAATGATTTTGCAACTGTCTTTTGACTAGGGGGATTTTCTTTTAACATTAAACAACGTACCTTTGCAATAGTCGAAGATGTCCGATTTTTCCTTGGATACTTGTTTGGAATTTTTGACCCACTTGAAGATCCAATTTGACGTTTTGTTTTTCCTTTCTTGTTGAGGATATTAACTATCGAAGCTTTAGATATCACAAAACTATGACTCTCCCATCGTTTTTGGATAACGGAGTATGCATATTTCTCTTCGGAAAGAGCCGTAAATGAAGCCTTCGAACCACTGCTTTGTTAAATTCGCCATTTTGAATAAAAACAAAACTTTCAAGCCACAGACGATAAGTTTGACTTTTAAAAACATAGTACAATTGCAATTACGTCTTTTGTAGCAAACGATTTTCATTACCGCTTGCCAAAATCGTCTAAGAAATGTGCGAACAGCCTCTGTATTGCATCTGTTTTAAAAAAATACAATCTATAAGTTTCGGATTACAAAGCAGTAGAACGGTGAGTTTACCATTAATAATACAAAGGAATATTTGGAAATTTAATAAACCGGATGTTTCAGCAAATCTGTTACAAACTTTCAGGAGATCCAGAGTACACCTAAACGACCGAAAAACGCACAGCAATGCATGGTCGGAAAAGCTTTCCTTGCTCGGGTAATGACACAAAACACAAGAAAGGAAGGACATGAACAGGGTGAGAAAAATGTTTATTAGGCTTAGCTCAGTAGAAACCAAGAAATAAGAAAGAAAAAAAAAACACAACCCATTAAAAAATCTGAAATCTTTCAGATTTTATATTACGCCCAAAGGAGAGTTTTTTTTAAACATTTTGTATGTTACCTTTATTTATTAAATATCATATTCTTACCTTTATTTATTAAATATCATATTCTTCGCACTTAAATCATAAAATTCAATTCAACAGCAATATCAAGAAATAAATTAAAAACAGCATATCTTTAGCATTTCCGATACACCATCTTGCGCGCTGGAGATAAGATTTTTTTTTTCCGTACAGTTTTGCCATTGCTCGCTTTCAAGTTATTGAATTTCTTAATCGAAACTCCTAAATGCCTTACAAAATATGAAATAGATTAATTAAAAAAAATTCTAAATTTGAGCTTTCAGATGCCCATATTCTAGTGGAGGACAACTTATTGAAAATTTTATGTCTCTAGGTACCGTTGTTTTTT